TGACGCTTGGAGATCTGGAGTTGTCATATTCTCATCAGAGAATAATATATGGACAAAATGGGAGTCTAAGGTAAATAACATCCTACTAGTAGGTTATCCTAAAGAAAGTACTAGGTATTATATTGATAATCCTAGTGTAGTTTTCAGACAATAATTATTACTAGAAATATGTTCTTTTATAAAGTCAAGCTTGATAATTAGGATTTATATAACTCAAGAAGAAAATTTGTTTTCTTTAGTGGGAGAGTTATTTAATCCAGTGGGAGAAACTTCAAATGAGTTGAAGATTGTATAAATTTAGTGGGAGCTTTAAGTAATAAAGTAAATGTAGATTTACTTACTAAATTTATTGTTGAATACACTGATTACAATTAGGAGATCAAACAGGATTTTCATCCACCTGTATAGTACAGTAGCCTTGTTAAAATATATTTGATGAAAAGTAACAAGGAGAATAAAAATCCTAAAACTTACACAAAAGTCATGTTGGACATGATTTCATGTAAGAGACCTGATATCATATTTGATGACAAACGGGTATTAATTATTGAAGAATCTTTTCCTCTAATTGTAATATTATAGTTCATAAGGATCCATTTAGTCATTTCAATGTGTTATGAATATAAGATATCAATAAATGGATTTTAAAATAACCTTCTTGAATGGATATCTTTAAGAAGATATTTACATATTATAGAATCAAGTATGTAAAATTCAAGAAGATAAAATTGATTAATTGAATCAATTAAAGTTATGAACTTAATCAATCAAACATTCATTTTGATGAAATGTTTAAGGAAATTGATTTTAATCATATCCTTAAAAAGAAATAATGTGTGTATAAGGAACAATAAAGTAAGTCCATTATATTCCTATCATTGCATGTTGATGACATATTGCTCATTAAGAATGATATTTTTTAATGTCATGAGTAAAAGTAAGATTTAGTTCTTTATGAAGGATTTTCTTTTGACATTCTATATCGTAGATCTTAAACTCTATATAGATAGAGAAATAGATATATAGAGTTGTCACAATCTACTTATATGGATAAGATCCATAAAAGATTCAACTTAATAAGATTCCAAGAAAGGAAAGGTTCCTATAAGACATAAACAATCTCTCTTTAAGGAAATGTGTCCCAAAAAGGTTATTGATCTTGTAAGTAGTTTTCAATCCAATCATAATAATAGAAAGTCTGTTTCGGGTTATATTTATATCATTAATAATAATAGCAGAATATGTAGTGCCATGTTAAATCATTAAAAGAAGGAATATGGATTAATGAGTTATTCCATAAGCTTAATATTATTTCTTGTAATAATTTTCTTTCTCATTATTATTTGATAGTAATGGAGCTGTTGCAAGAAGCTTAGAAAGAAAAATTATCTTATTAAAGGTTAATAAGAAGAAATATGTTATGGTTTAATAGATGGCTGAGCATATAACATTTAATGTCCTTTTATAGACCATTGTCTTAAAATGTTTTTGACAGATGGGAGTAAGGATTATATCTGATTGGATGTTAGGGCAAGTGGGAGATTGCTGGAATAGTAATAATAATTTGCCCTTGAACATCCAATACAAATTATGTAATAATATTGTAATGTTAATAAATTTAATTGTTGCACATAATTTGGGTATTATTTATATAATTGTTATATATATCCTTAGAAGTTATTTTGTTAGATCATGCATTGTGATGGTCACTTGCTTGGAGATATGATCTAACTTAGAAATTTCTTAAATTTGTGCTTAACCTATAACTAGTAAAGGATAACTTTGTTATAACAGGTTATTATGCATGACACCGATATATGAGATATGGTGGTGGGTCTCAACCATCGAGAATGGAGATTCTCCGGGTGTATGTCATAAGCACGCATTATGATGTGTGTAGCACTAGACCGTATTTGAATTCTCTAGGATGAGTCACCTAAGAGATAGAGAGTTCAAATTGTTACATGGTCCCTTTGACTTGATGATATTATCATTTTCGATTTGATAATTTAGTATGCTTTGATGTGATGGTTAAGCTTGTTTAGCAAGCGCTACACAACCTGAAACATTGGGTTGCTAAATTTCATTTAGGAAAATGATGGATGTCTAGATAGGATCCAGTATGCTCATTATGATGAGTTAATTTATTATGCATTCCCATGAAGCTATTAAATTCCTGCCGGCAGGTAGCTTTGAAAATATTTTTACAAAATTTATTTTCTTATAAAAAATAAAATATTTTGATGTTTCAAAATAATTTTTATTTATGTTCATGGGAATTGCAAATTTAGACATGAGCAAATAGGTGAGTTGTCCTACTTAAAAGAGTTGCCTAGAATAAATGATACTGGAAGGGATTGAATGTAAGATATTATTTATTAATAATTAATCCCATATTATGGAAGAGCTTTTATGAACAATTGGTCGGATAGGGATTTGATTGTTAAATTAAAATTATTAATTTGATTAATAATTGGTTCTCGATATGGGACCCAATTGGTCTCACTAATGTCATTAGAAGAGGTATACATGCAATGCAATTCTATTTCTATCCTTAATTGTTATGGATAAAGTTTTTGAATAAATCTATTTCTATCCTTAATTGTTATGGATAAAGTTTTTGAATAAATCTATTTCTATCCTTAATTGTTATGGATAAAGTTTTTGAACAAATCTATTCTATCCTTAATTGTTATGGATAGAGTTCTAGATAATTATGAATTGTTTAAAGTTAAAATCTCTAAGACTAGTGTAATCCTATAAATAGATATGTAGCCTTATGAAAAAAAAAAAAAGAGAAGAGATTCAAAATCTTATGAAGATAATATGAAGAAATAGATTTTTGAGAACCTATCTCTCAGTATTGCTCCTCTACGGTGACGGGTGGATTTCAATTGGAGGCTTTTTCTCTTGAGGAAGCTATTTTGGATTGATCTCGGGACAGATTATTGTAGAAATTCGGAAAGCGTTTCAGGTATTCTTCTAATATTTAATTAATTTTGATTAATAGTCATGATATGCTTTTTCCGCTGCGTTGTATGTCATGATTCCAACAGTAAGGGCTTTCCCCTTGCGTAGTTTCGGGTGTTGGTATGCCTGATAAAATGTGTTTAATTTGTTAAACTGAAATTAATTAGATTAACTTAAAAGTTTGATTAGATCAAACTATGGTGTTGTTGTTCAAGGGTTATGATTATTTTGATTAAGATCAAGATTAGGGCTCGGGTTACTGTTCATGTTCTCGGATTACTGTTCATCCGCAAAAAAAAAAAAATTATTTGTTTTTGATAGAGATCAATTGAGGGTTTTTGATATGATCATGGTTATGATTCTTTGATTAGATCAAGTATTTTAGTTATTTATTTTGATTAGATGTGATCTAATTGGGTTCTTTATTAAAAAAAAAAAAAATTATTTGTTTTTGATAGAGATCAATTGAGGGTTTTTGATATGATCATGGTTATGATTCTTTGATTAGATCAAGTATTTTAGTTATTTATTTTGATTAGATGTGATCTAATTGGGTTCTTTATTAAAAATAAAAAATAATAATAAAAAAACTTCGCCACCGCCGACGGTGGCCGGCCACCCGCCGGACAACCCGCCGCCGGCCATGGTTGGCGGCGGCGGCCCCCAAACCCTAGACCTAAAAACTTCCTTCATGGGTTGAAGGAGAAGTTTGATGGGTTTACAACTCTTAATGGGTTTTGAACCAAATTTCAATAGGAAATAGGATAAGAGCTAATGGGTATTGACCCATTTCATATAAACCCAAAACCCAAAATGCTATTATGAATAGGATATATTATAATGGGTCTGACCCGCAAACAGAACCAGACCCGAACCCTATTAGTTTTGAATTTTATTGTAAAATTAATCTGAGACCCCTGATTGACCAGGAATTGTTCTGAAGTCCATCAGATTCTCAAACACGCTATAAAATTAGTTATAACTCCCTGAAAAATCCAGAAACTGTTCTGGAGTCTGTGAGTATTAATGAATTGCTATCAGACCCCTGTTTGATTCAGAAACTGTTTTGAAGTCCACCAGTATTGATGAATAACTGTAAAATTAGTTACAGACCCCTGTTTGATCCAGAAATTGTTCTGAGTCTATTAGTATATTAAATTTTGATGTGATATTAGCTTCACCCTCCTGATTGATTTTGAAACTGTTTTAAGATCCATCTGAATATATTGACTAATTTTCTGATTAGTCCCTAATACTTGCAGAATTTGTTCTGAAGCCCATATATATGTATAATTTAGTTTCTTTTATTGAAAAGATTATCTAACTCTTAGTGAATTGTTAGAAATGATATTGTATCATGTATATTTCTGAAATATTATTTGTATTATACTTGTGATATGATCATGTTGATTTTAAATTGTTTAAATTCAATAATTCATGTGATTAAAGTAATACATGAAAAATTACTGTAAGGTCCAGAATTGTTCTGAATTTGTTTTATTAAATAAGACAGTTTAGAATTTATTAGAAATTGACTGTTGTTATTTTCTCTCAGTTATAATAAATAACAAAAGTTGTATAGAAGTGTAGATATATTAATTTTTTAAGAAATATAAATCTAAAGGTCTTCCATCATAGAGATATAACTTAGATAATAATTTTTTAACTTATCTGATGCCACAAAGGATAGGGTTTGTTAAAATTTATTGACAATAGAGAAAACATTATTACATTTTTATTGACATGGTTATCCAAGTTTTCATAAATTATCTAAGTTACTGTCTGAACTAAATGAAGATACATTAGGAAGGTTTTATATTTACATGAGTATCTGAGTACTCATGAATAACAGCACAAAGAAAACATAATTGCTTGTTGAAAAACAAAAAATATTAAAGAACCACCCTTATACGTTCCCCACGAACAGAAAAACAAGATATCAGGAAACATCAACAAATTAGAGTAAATCTTTATACACGATACTACATTAAAACAATCAAAAGTATCGCGAAAAGGCCATCGATCATTACGAATTGGATGGTCGGGCCACTTAGGCCCCTTCGCGTCCATTGCTTCAAACATCTTTGGTTCCTTCCCCTTCCTCCTCAGTTCGTCCATTGCTTCCAACAATTCCTTTGCTCTTATCTTTTCCACGCAATTCCTTTGCTTTTAACTTTCTTGGATATCAATTTCTTTGTTGCTAAAAGTCCTCAGGGAGAAGACTGCTGTATTTATAGGGGTTCTATCTATATCCGTAATGAGCATTAAGAATTTTATACCGGGTTGTATGTCAGGAATTTTTTTGAGAGTAAAATAGAGTTGTATTTGGGTTTAAATTGCATTTGAAACCTATTATTAGTAAGTTTGAGTTGTTATTTAGTTAGTTATTAGGTGGATAAAGTTTAGTACACTGTTAAGGAAGCCGTTAACTAACTTTATCCAGATATGTAATTTAAAAATTATAATTTGTTTGGCAAATAACGAACTCATATTTGCCCAAAAAGAAAGAAAGATGGAAAAAATTCAATTAATTAGCCAATCTTATGAGTTTAATCAAAACCATCAAAGAAGAAAAATTATGTAAATTCGAAGATGAACACGATTTCTTGAAATTACCTTCGTCGAGAGAAGGGTGAGCAGATGAAACGGCCTCTTGAGTTTAGGATACGTCGGGGTTGATTCTTTCGCTGGAGCCATTGAATCTTTTAACGATCAAAATTGGAAACCCTGGACTTTATTAGGGAAAAAGGAGAGAATTCACCGCCTTCGAATTTTACATTTCCCCCCCTTCGGCCTATTTCGCTTAAGGGCCTGTTTGTTTGCACGGAAGTAATTGTGAAGTAGCTGAAGTAAAAGAAGTAGAGACTACTTCTGCTACTTCCAAGCAAAAAAGTGTGTTTGGTTCTCTGAAAAACTTACTTCCAATACTTCCCTAAATGCTTATGCGGCGCCTATGTGTCATCCTTACTTCCAAAATATTTTTCCAATCCTCAATACTCAGAAGTAGCTCGGAAGTAGTTGAAATGCATATTAATTATGACATAAATAATTTTTTTATTAATATTTTCTTTATTAGTTACTTCTAACAACTTTTCATTAATAAAATTACTTCCTAATAATATTTACAAATGTTATCCAAACAAAAAAAGTAAACGAAGAGGAAGAAGTTCTACTTCCATTACTTCTAAAAATATATGAAACAAACAAAAAAAATATTATTTCCACTATTTCCTACTTCATAGCTTTGAAAGTTACTTCTATAACCTATTTCTTACTTCTAATACTTCCATTATCCAAACGGGGGCCCAATTTTGCAAGTGTGGCCATTTTTCCTTTTATCCCCCTATTGAAACAGATATTTCATCAATAATTTCTTTCCGCTCCAAAATGTCGAAACAATATCTTCTACTATCAATAATTTCACGAAACCCCCTGCGCTTTGTGGTGTCTCACATAGTTACATGACCCCATAAACTTTCATACCCACTAACGACGTTAATAAACGTTGGAAAAAGTAAAAACAGACCTTTAAAATTAAACTCAAATTTAGTTACATTGATAATTAAATCCCGAACCCTAATTAAATTAATTAATAATAAGAGATGAAGATAACCATTTGATCTTATCAAAATCATTAATAGATATACTTACTCTTCGTAAAATTTTAAAATGATATTTTTTGTTAAGTTAAATTAACATTTCTTATTAACACTTCGTTCGAATCATCGGAGAACATGAAGAGAAAATATCGTGATTCTAAAGAAGAACAAGAAAAAATTGGCACAAATTTAGATGAGTACTATTCAGTTTTTTTTTAAGTAAATTTTGTGAATGCCATATAATTACTTTTAACCGTAATCAAATAATGAAACTAGACACATCACCACTAGGACCCAGTAATGATTTTTTTTACTCTGATCAGTCCCTGTGCTACTTCCTGCATGATTAGGTGATTAATCCAGGTAACTATGTAACAAGCAAGCAATGCCATCATATAAATGTAAACTTACGTAACAAAATCAGAGAGAATCATCCTGAAACTATACATTCTTCTCAGAGAACCATACGCGGCTACATGAAACCGAAACTGAAACCAGTTTATACAGAAATCTACGTATTCAAATTTCCAGGTTTTGTTTTCAGGATTGTTCTTCTGAAAGCCAGCATATATTCAAACAACAAAATTTTCAAAGTCCCGTGACTTATTTGTCAACTCCTTCGTGCAGGATTTTACTCTGATCATTCTCTTTAGTATTATCGGAGGGAGTGGAAACTTCCTGTATTCTTATCAGCTTCTTAGTTCTTCTTCTTCTTTCCTATACAAACTTTTTTTCTGCGAGGAGCTTCCTCTGCGTTTTCTGGATCGACTTCTTCATGGCCTGCATCATCTTCTACTTTCCTAGTGATGGTACATAATACACAGCCATCATGAATCTGCAGAAATAACAACATACACAACATCATTGAGTTGCACATGATAAATATCTGTATTCATTTAATTTTTGAAATATTTACCTTTGGCGAATCCGGATTGTTGGGTTGACCATTTTCAGGCTTGGGCTGTTTTTGAGCAGGCTTCTTGTCCTTGTCCTTGGCATCAACAAGCATAAATTCATTCATGGCCCAGTTGGTCATTGTACAATCAGCTAGGCAATAATCCAAAATTCTTGATTCTGCAAAATGGTTTTCTGGACCTTGCATTGACTTATTGATTCCTCTAGTTTTCCAGTACCTGGCTCCATCATGAGTGTGGCGTGCAGGACGAGAGCTGTGGGGGGTACTTGCTGTCTCTTGAAGTGAGGAACTACAATTTACCATTTGCTCCCCATTTCTCATATTTCTCTGTTGATTACGGCCACCATGAGAGAGATATATCAGCTTTAGTAGCTAAACTGTGTGCTTTATGACACAAAGAATTTCTGGATATTTCAGTCATAGACTCACAATAGAGCTTATGTAAGACAGGATGTTTTGAAATAAATAACTGGAAATGTTAAGTAATATGACTGACTAAAAATTTATGGGGAGTCAAATGTTGAACAAGTTGGTGAGTTATCTCACAAATTGGTATGCGAGGAATCGAATATCAGACATATTTGAAAACAAACTAAAAGGATTTCTTTGTTATATTTGTCCTAATTCACTAAAAATATAATTAGTTGTTGCATGTGAATTCTTTTGGTGTTAATATGTCTTCTTTATTTTCGGTCTGTTTAAATTAATACTTTTTTCCCTTGATTTATCTTCTTATAATTTCTCTTATATCAACTGCTTCAGCTTTCTTTCTTTTTTCCCCGTTTGCCTATATATTTGAACCATAAGCTGAACATCCACTTGTTCAATTACTGGATAATCGTTGTAAAAAATAAATGTCATGAAGATGCACATCAATAGGACTTTAATGAGTAAAAAGATAACGTAACACTCCCCATCGTGAAAATGACAAGCTAAGTAGCTAACTAGAATGACGTATTTGAAGTAACTTTCCGAGCTAGATAAATTTATTTGTAAATTATATGATTCTGAGGACTTTTTTCAGAGTATATATTATCCAGCGACAAATATGGAAAAGTTCAGAAAAGGATGAAGGAAAAAACAAATGCAAACAAGCATCGCAAAAAAGTCAGGTGTACTCACGGATAAGTTTCTCTCGACAAGTCTCATACACATTGACCTCATTTACGATATTATAAGTAAGTTGTGGAGCTTTTTGCCCAAGAGGTATCGGAAAAGTGAGATCCTCGTCTGTAGGTGAAAATGAAATCCTGGAGGTGGCTTCAATGGTTATTCTCTCCTTCACTTTGGCAAAGCTTGTGCATTGTTCTCTTGTTCTGTCTTTGCTATTGATAATTCTGCATTGTTGGCAATAGAGAGAAAACTTACATTGTTTTTCTTGGTGTTTGAGCTTTAAATGTTCATGGCATCGAATAAGAGTCTGAATATTATGATAGACTGAGATGAAAAAATCAACTACAAAAGTGTGCTGTTCATACTGAAAATTCTAATTAAATTTTTGATAGAACAACAAACTGTCTCATTAATGCCTGTACTTGTTTACGATCAAAAAGGAAAACTGTGTCATTTAAGTCTTTTGAAAAAAGAATAAATGTGTACAGTTTATATTTACATGATTGTCATAGTACCCATGAACACCACGAACAGAAAAGAAAATCTCACACATTACGAAAACACAAAAGAGAAGATACACATGTGGAAATTATGCTTCTTGTATTTTTCAAGTTATAAATTTGTGACACATAACATTCATTATGAAGGTGTTGAAAAGGAAGCTAAAATAGAGAAATTACCAAAAAAAAAATCCATCAGGAGCATCGAACATGTGGTGCTAGAAACTACCAGTTCAAAACAATATCCATCTACTATAGGTATGAGGCTAAAGGTTTAAAATCTATAAATACTCGAATATTATATCATCTTGATATTTTTATCTTTTAAAATATAACAATACTGTGTATAACTTTTAGATTCAACTGGGAAATTTTTTTATATATTTCTGGCAAACTATGGCACATACATTGATTTGACAAGAGTCAAATGCAATATGCAAGAACCAAGAATTGCTTTGAGCATATTTATTGTGCTTGCTTTAATATGCGCCTATAAGTTCAGGAACTTAATTTATTAGAGCAAGTTTTGAGAGAAGAATCAAAGATTGAAGGCCACAAAGATATTTTCACAAACAACTGTTGCAGATAATGAAAGAACTTGAGTGGTTACATACTATTTAGGCATTTAGTTGAGGATTCAATCTAACCATAAAGACAATATGCATAAAGAATATTCAATATCTCAAATTCTTTTGAACATAACACATTCCTTGAAATCCCTAAACAGGACTCTTTTCTTGATATTTTTGTCAATTTCTTTTCTTGAAATCAAAATTACTGATGGAATAACTTAATCCAAGCTAAAAATCAAAGAGACAGGAAAAAGAAATAAAAAAAACTAATGGATTATAAAGACACACATTTATATGACGCATTCTGGTAAAATAACATATATAACATATACAGTTAAAGAATCCACACAAACTTTTTACCCCTAGATCTATGCTCCACAAACAGAAAAAACAAATATCAGAATCATCAAATAGGGGGGAAAACCAGAAAACATAGCAAGAATAAATTCACAAGAGGTAAATAATTTCATAAGAAATAAACACATATGTATGATGTTAAATCAATGGGGAAAAAAGAACAGAAACAGTTAATTAGTCATTAGCATGTTCATCCATGGAAACGTCCTTCCCCTTTTCTCCTTGATGCACCCATTGCTTCAAACAATTTCTTTGCTACTTTCTTCCTTTGACTAACAATTTCTTTGCTATTATCAAAGACAGATAAGGAGAGAACTTATATGATTTGGTTCCTAAGTTCTTAGGAGGTGTCCTGTACCTATAACAGTTCTTGAAAATTTAGGATGAAGGTTTAAAGAGTGTTACAGCTTTTTGTCTGTGAGATTAAGGGTTTAGAAGAGTGTAACAGATTCTTGTTTGTATTTAGGATGATATAATATCATCCTGTTTTATTATTATGGGGAAAATATGCAGCTCTGTAAGATATCAGGGTCTAAATGGAATAGCCTTGTTTTTTATTATTTTAATAAGATATGTGGGTTTATATATAAATAAGTACATTTGAGGAGTTTCACTTGTTACTCGTAATCATTTAGACGGTAACGGTTAAAGTTTAGGGTAAATTTCACAAAACCCAAAGAAGTTTGGCACATTTTGAGATAATCCCAAAGTTTTAGAAATGTCAGTTAACCCTCAAATCTTTTCCAGATAACCCCAAAAACTTTGGGGTTATCTGAAAAATATATTTAAAAAACTAAAAAAAAAGGGTGTCACGTGATATTTCCTGACTTTTTAGGGGCTATCTAAAAATGGGCCAAACTTCTTAGGGTTGTGTGAAATTTACCATATAGTTTATTCACGCTCAATCGGAATATTCAGAGTAATAATATATTTAAATTTGAGCCGCCAAATATCAACACGGAGTTGAATTGGATCTCCTTTAATGGAGCTGCACTGAGATGTTCATGCACCACCGAAAGCTCTATCTAAAATTTTGCTTCTTGAAAAAAAAAAAGATTCTGCCATCTGAATTTGATTAAAAATTATGAAGAGTTCTTAACTAAATTCTTTTTTTATATACCTATTTTTCAATATTAGTGGAGATTTCCTGATTTAATTAGTTCTTTTAAAGCGTAAAATCACAATTTCAATGAAGTACTTGTACAGGGTGGATAGAGAGCAAAATAAGATTTTGTTCAAAAAGTTAGCACGGCAAGATCACTAAAAGTCATGATCAGAGACTTTTTCCAAACTAAATCTACAAGTAAATGCAAATAGAAAGTACTGACCGAAGACATAAAATCTCACATATAACACATATCTACATGCTACATCATGATACATATACACGTACCTCGTGTTAGCTATGCCAACACAATTCTTGCTCCAAAATCTCCATTGCAGGTCTGTAGCCCTCACTTCTCAGATGACCGTCAATTTCCTTCACCACCATGTAAATCTCTCTTCTTCTAGGATGTGATTTGTCCCTAATTCTAAATTCATGAACCATTCCATCAACTTCAATGAGACTACACCCTGGAGTCTTCTTCACCTTCTTCACCTTCATCAACTTCCTCATAGTTCTCTCATCCCCCTTTTGATTATCAGATGCATACATATTCGACATAAGCACATAAGCACCATCTTCATTCGGTTGTAACTTTAATAGGTTCTTAGCAGCGCTCTCCCCTAATTTGACATTCCCATGGATTTTGCAAGCACCTAGGAGAGTCCCCCATATGAACGCATCGGGCTCTATTGGCATCCTATCGATGAATTCTTGGGCCTCATTCAAAAGCCCAGCTCGGCCCAACATATCAACCACACACCCATAATGCTCGATTTTTGGGTTAATCCCATAAACCCTTGAAATATCATGGAAATGAGCAAGTCCTATATTGACCAAACCAGCGTGGCTACAAGCTGATAGCACTCCGATGAATGTAATGCTATTTGGCCTTATACGTGCCTTTGACAGCTCAGAGAAGAGGTCTAGGGCTTCTTTTGCTTGCCCATGCATAGCAAGCCCTAGGATCATAGTTGTGTAGGTGTACACATCTTTTTTTGTCATTTTATTAAACAATTCCATTGCTTGTTCTATTCTTCCACATTTTGCATACATGTCAACTAAGGCATTTCCGATAATTCCATTAGCTCTGATGCAAACTTTGTCCATGTACACGCGCACCCAATTTCCCATTTCAAGAGATCCAAGATTGGCACATGAATTGAGCACAGCGACTAGTGTCATGCCATCAGGTTCTATACCCTCACATTGCATTCGTCGAAACAATTTTAGAGCCTCTTTGAACTCCCCATTTTGCGCAAGCCCGGATATCATAGAGTTCCAAGAAACAACATCTTTTTCATTCATCTCTTTAAAGATAGAATATGCCGACTCTATGTCACCACATTTTGCATACATATCCACCAACGCATTTCCAGTGACAACATCAGACTCCACGTTGTGTGCATCAATGTAATTATGTAACTTCCTACAAAGTTTCAAATCCCCAACTTTAGAGCAAGCAGAAATCACCGTCGCCATGATAATTGCGTCCGGTTTCAAATCTTCATCCGTCGCTTCGAGAAACAATGATACAGCTTCCTCCGCACGCCCCGTCTTTGAATACCCCAAAATCAAGGTAGTCCAGGATACCAAATCTCTTTCGGGAAATCTATCGAACAGTTCGTGTGCAATACCCATTTCTCCACAGACCGTATACAACCTGATAAGATTGTTCCTCACATAACAATCTGATTCAAATCCCAACTTAACAACGTGGGCATGCACCAGTCTGCCCTCCCAAAGAGACCCACATTCGGCAAGAGCCTTTATAAGTGAAGGGAACGTGAAATTGTTAGGGCAAAGACTACATCGCAGCAGCGCTTGGTACGCGAGCATTGAGCTTGACGCGGGTATTTTTCTACTAAGGGAGAGCCCGCGGATAACGACGTTGTACATCGAGGTCGTCGGGGTTTCGATGTGCGCTAAGAGGAGCTGAGCATAGGAGACGTCCCCGTGAGGGTTGAGAGCAGAGAACGAGAGGAGCTTGGAGAGGATGAGGGGGGTTTGAAGGGATGGGGATCTGAGGACTAGGGAGTGGATTTGTTTGAGGCCTCGCATTGATTGCCAAGGGATTAGATTTTTTTGTTGAGGAGTTGGGGAAGACTCGGGAGAGGGAGGAGAGGTTAGGGGAGGAGAAAAGGCCATGACTTAATTCCTCGGTTCAAGCGGAGGGAGGAGAGTCTGCTGTGTTTTATCGGGTAATAAATATATCGGCCCCTCAAAAGATGTGTAACTTGTAGAATAGCCCCCAGATGATGTTATTTTGACAAAAAGGCCCCATAATGTTTGAGTTACGCTATGAGTGGGACTTTATGCAAAATTAAGCCCAAATGTTTCCGAAATAAGTCCACAGGAGAAGTGATCACGTCATCAGCTGGGTTTACGCAAGTTTAGCATTACGTAATAATTCTCATTACGTGACCATATATAGCCCAAATTCTAGAAAAAAGTTTGTGAATAGAATAATTTTTCACTTTAGCCCTTTTAAAATTTTTTATTATTAAAATCGACCATTTTTTCTTTTATTTATCAAAACCGACCCGATTTCTTAATTAGCGGCTTAATCACATTCCTAATTAGTCGGGGTTGCCAACCCCGACTATTTAGGAGGGTCTTAAACCCTAATTAGAAGCCTTAAACCCTAAAAATTAATATCCTAAATAGTCGGGGTTGGCAACCCCGACTAATTAGGAATGTGATTAAGCCGCTAATCAAGAAATCGGGTCGGTTTTGGTAAATAAAAGAAAAAAATGTCGATTTTAATAATAAAAAATTTAAATAGGGTTAAAGTGAAAAATTGTTCTTGTGAATATCTATAATACTCTATCGCTAGCGACAATAGAAAGTGGAAGTAGGCAATAGGTGCGAGTGATTTCTTTATAATTAAACAAAATCCTCTATAATCAGATAAAATCTACCATTTTATGTTGATGAATTTAAGATTTCTTTTTTCCATTAATAATAATAGTTTTTTAGATATTGGTGCTTACATCATTAATATTTTAAAAGTAGAATTTCAAATTATTAAATTGCTCTTAGATCATTAATATTTTAAGACTTTAAACCTCACTAATTATGTGGAAGGTAAAGTGTTGAAACCAACAAGATTTTATATATTAAAATATCTAAAACTTTTTAATATATTATGATAATCATAAACTTTTTTGCAACTATGTTATAGTAAATATACATAAGCTAAAAGCAACAGTTATAATATTTGACCACGTGTATTGTATGTGCATTCCACCTAGTAGAATTGCATGTGCATTCCACAATTTCCACCTAGTAGAAAAGAAAAAACTAGCTTAAAAGCTAGTTTGACCAAAAAATAAGCCGTCTCAAACACCCTCGAAATTTGTTGATATCTGATTTGAACATGAGTTAAATATTTACTGGAAATAACCCAACATGATTTTGCCCCTCCCATTTCTCTTTCCTCTCTCTTTCTCCGCTGGTATAACAATAGCCGATGAAGGTACGAAGATATCTCTATCCGGCGTGGTCTACAGATTTTTTATTTTATTTTATTTCATTTTTTTTAGTGGGGTTGGGGGGGTGGAGATAAAAAAAGTGGAGGAAGAGAAGGTGTAACAAGATGGGAATAAAACTATAACGACTATAAGTTCAGATTAAGATAACTTGCTTAAGCTAAAGGGATCAAGTTGGTGTAACATAAAGAATTTTTAAGGGACCCTTTTAAAAAGAATGTGCTTCCGGGACCCATTTCAAATTATTTTTTGTTTTGGTGTGCTAATGCCTTAAAAAAAATTAATAGTTTTTATTTTTATGTAGCTGAATTACACGAAGCTTAGTGCATCGTCGCTTTGGCCGAGTGGTTAAGGCGTGTGCCTGCTAAGTACATGGGATTTCCCGCGAGAGTTCGAATCTCTCAGGCGACGCATCTTTACTCTTTTAATCTTTAAAAATTCCCCCCTCTTCCTCTCTCTATTCAAACCATTACTTTTTTAATCTTTAAAAATTCCCCCCTCTTCCTCTCTCTATTCAAACCAATGAAGCATATATTTAAAACATTAATTTTCTTTTTTTTTAAAAGAAAAATCCATGCAGCAAGTACTTTGATTCAGATTGCCCATGACCTGTTTGAAGAAATGCTCCAAATAAACCCTTCCAGTTAAACTGGGTACTTTCATTTTATTTTCAACCCAACCCCTTCAGTATCATCTTAAGGTACAATCCAAAACCTTATTAAATTTTTGTGAACCTTAAGTTGCAAGTCACTAGTTTCCGAATCAGTACTTCGTGATTTTCCTATGTTTACATTTGAGAATGAGCTCAATCCTGTGCAGTCTTCGAAATTCGAGATTTATGCTATACCCGACTTAAATTTATATCATACAATTAATAAACGGTCGACCAGTGATGCATAGATTTGTCTACAGATAGCTCTTCAGATAATCCTCGGCGTAACCCAAACACAAAATAAAGAAAACGCAACAGGTGCGCATCGAATTTTTCGCAAACAACTGTTGCTAATAAAAGCATGGGAACAGATGTTACAACATCAAGTTATTAGTGCTGATAACATGCACACGGATCCGCCACACGAGATTTGTTCACAGATAACGCTTGAGATAGTCCTTCACTCGCACGTAGTTAACTTCTGGATACAACCGAGATGCCTCTTCTCCCTCTTCGCCTATTTCAAAGTTTGTCAAGCAACCTTCATAGCAAACATGGTAGTAATGTCCTAGACCCACTTGCTGTGCGTAATCATCTGTGCCTGTAAACATAGCAAAAATAGTAAAGAAGCTAACGGATGGGTAATCATCTGTGCCTGTAGAATTTCTGTCTTTTTTTTTCCTTCTTTAATTACCATTTATGATAGAGAGGAAATCTTTCTCTAAAATACTAGTCTTCTCTAGCTCCTTGCCGATAAGCTTCTCCCATGCCTGAACTACCTCTCTTTGAGAGAGGGTATTCTCCGGCGGGCGAATGTAGAGAGTTTTGTTCAACATACGAGGATCATCAATTGTCTTGATAGCGTAAGTCGCTATATCGTCCTCATCAACATAAACAGCTTCAACCAAGATAAAAAAAAATGGTCATGCAATAGTAAACATATAGAAGTCATTGAAGATGTGTATGAAATACCTTTGACGTTGCCATCGCCATGCAAGAGCACCCGCTCTCTTGAAGGGAGAATATTTCCAGGTTGACAAAGACCGCCGATGAAATATCCAGCAAAGCAACCGGCACAGATGTAAGTAAACGGGATTTTAGCATCCTCAATTGCTTTTCTAACGACCATTTTATCGTCAAATGTCACTCTTCCAGGTGCTATTGCATGAGCCATTCTTGCAGGATCCGTCCCAAATTCGGATGGTAAGAATCTCTGTCATAGTTTTTCACGGCCTTCAGTTTTTACTCCCATGTCTTTAGCTTGCATTTATTTAATTCTTTCAATTATTTCTATCATATATATAAATCATTTTAGAGAGTACTGTAGCTAGCAAGGAGATTGGTCAGCTGATTTGGGTCGGTCACAGGTTGCCAATGAAGCTGTAACAGTCTTCTTGGATATTTCTTAAATTTTCTTCAGGGCCTTGTTCAATTTGATTCACTCATGTATCAGAAATCTGATACTAATAAATATTTCTTTAAACTGAAGGGCAGTGAAGAAAAAGGAGGAGGCTACTTAAAAGAATGAAGAAAAAGGAGGAACAAGGAATAAATATTTCTTTAAACTGAAGGGCAGTGAAGAAAAAGGAGGAGGCTACTTAAAAGAATGAAGAAAAAGGAGGAACAAGGA